AGATGATTGAAACCACATGTTGCTCTCAGCTCAACCTCACATGACCCCCCTCTCCTCTGTACCTGAGAGAGAGAATGGGCCGTCCTGCACAAAGCGATACTCTCGGCTTAATCTGGCCTGAGGTCAGAAGGGAGTACTTCACTGCGGCCAAGAACTGTTTGTTTATCAATCTACCTACATGTTATCCCACATTCCCGCTAACGATCCAGCCTCTTTCTGGAATGTGTGGAATCCTTATCCCCTTACTGTGCTATGCCAGCTGAGACTCTCGTGACTGATTCAAAGTGTGATAAAAGAGAGCATTTGCAACATCTGTTTGGCCTGCTGTAGTCAAACAGCTTTATTAGAGGCACAAAAAAGTATATATACCTAAATGCCAATGGCAGCCCTTTAGCCCTAAATCACAAAGCTTACCAATATGAAAAAATAAATAGGAATATTTAAGTGACTGACACTTACTGTAACACCAGAGGCATCATAATAAAAGGTAAATGCCTTCAACAGACTCCAAATGCCTTTTATCTAAAATGTCTTATTTTTGTTAGCCGCATCTGGCATGACAGTGATATCTATTGTTACTTATATGTTTTCTTATTCTGGCTGTTGTGAGACATCATTAAAATGTGACAGAACACATCCACAGTACTGATAAATCAGCTGGGGTTGTGAAAGTCTGACTCATTGTGTAACTTGAGAACAGTGGCACAAACTTTGGTAAACATTTTAAGTCTCAAATCCATGCAAAAGATCAAGCCATTAGAGACAGCAGTGAGGACCCATTTAGTAAGATTTCATTTTAAAAACAGACAACCTTTTGTTTTTATTCTGAAAGAAAGAACCTATTCATGTGCCTTAATCCAATAAATCAAAACTTGGATCATGTAAATGAGTGTAATTGATGAGCAAGTTCCAATGGGTCAGTTTTTTCATGTACAAAATAAGTTAACTCGTAAAACTCACAGAAAGTTGCAAGTTCATTTGTAAGGTAGTGTCAGTAATGTTAGTTTATTAGGTGAAACTATTATATCCTAAAGCCATTGTTAATGTAAAGCAGGGCATTTAGGCAGCTGGTCCATGTACAAAAAAACAAAATGTACCATTTAGAAAAATATCAGCAGTGGTTAGTAAAGCTGAACAAACTGTAACACTGCTTCATGGAACATTTTGCTTAGTATAGAACGTACTGAAATCAAGTGGTACGGCCCTAAATAATGACAGTATATCATTATTTGTTTTGAGAGCCATTAGAGTTTACACAGAAACAAACCTCACCCAGCAGAGCCTGAAAAAGATGACTGCCAAAGATGGAAGAGACCTTTTCCACACTGGTCTTCAGGGCCTGCTCTTCTGGGCTGGTCAGACTTGCCTGGTACTGTTTCAGTAGCCCAACTGCTCTTTTAGTATCTGAAATAAAAGAGAAGACCATCATTTCTATTTCAGTACAACTCCTACTCATTTTAATGCCTTCCCTCCATTACATTCTCCTTTTGACAGTCTGAAGGCATTTTTTAGATGCATGGCTAATTCTGAAAAGGCTTTGCACCATGCTAGACACTTGAAATCTGACATTACTTGCCTATAATTACAAGAACCCCTCGAAAGGGTGTGCAGCCAGATGTTCAACTCAACCAGGGCTGTCAAACAACAGTTTTTAAGCAAGCAGATAAAAAAATGAATGATTTAGTCTTGTGTGGTAGCCTATGTGTTGTTTTGTGGGTTACTCTTGTGGAATAAAAGGGACCATACAGTGGCCTAAAAAATATTTAGACACTTACGTCACATTTAAAATGCATTAGACAAGAAATGATGCTACAGTTTTGTATTGTAGCATCACAGTTAACCGGTCATGATGTCTGTGCCCTTCAAGTTCCCAGGTGTTCTAGAAGAGTAACTACAGGTTTAGTTCATCATATTAACTATGAATTTGCAAATGCATCTGTTGTATCCAATAAGCAATACAACAGCAGTAACAATGTGTGCGAGGTTTATTTAGACATTTGTTGTTAAAAGATTTGGTTACACTTTATTTCGATAGTCCACTTTAGATATTCTACTAACTATAAGTAACTTTGTAACTACATGTCAACTAATTCTCATTAATTTGCAACTACATGTTTACTAACTCTCAGAGTAGACTGTTAGGGTAGGTTTAGGGTTAGTAGAATGTTGACAAAGAAAGTGTTAGAAGATATTAAGCAGACAGTCTACTAATACTCTACTAACTGCTAGCCGACATGTAGTTGCAAAGTTACTTACTGTTAATAGAATGTCTAAAGTGGACTATTGAAATAAAGTGTTACCAAAGTTTTTATTGAAAAGAGTGCTTGTGCTGTCCATAAATTAAATGATGCTTCTCTAACACAGTGGCATTCGTATATTTTTAAGCATAAAAATATTTTGAAGGTTTCTGAATGTTTCAGGTGCCGGTTTAAGGGAAGTGAAGGTAAGGAACAGGTATAGCAGGAGGTTACACATAAACATAACTGATTGTGATGGGTTAAATAGAGTCGGGATGTCGCCTATGCTACACTTGACGTTCATTGAGCTTCTGTAAAGAATAGTGGTTTTATTCAAAGTTACAGAATCTCACTTCAGACTCATGCTTCCTGTTCCCATGGGGTTTCCAAGAAATTCCTACTTGAAAATGCCCATATCGAAACTGAGACGTTTAAAAGAACTAAAAACAGAAATCACCGCCAAATCTTGATTAGAAGATATCGTCTTCTTATAACGACTGAAGTTGGCTGTTTTAACGGAACTTACCATATTTATGTACCATGATGAGAAGACTGTTAAAAAAACTGGTCCTGTAAATCCAGTTTAAACCTTTCGACTAGTTCTCCACATAAATAACGCTTTAAAATCCTTATCGGGTCAGCTGTCACTTGCTCCGGCCAGACTATTAAACGTTTTGCCGTCGTTTTTCCACCACAGTGACGAAATTGCTTCTTTTGGGAAGTTCTAGTGTAGTCTATTAAAGACGGGAATAGAAGTTACTCCAGTTGGCAGCAGATGCTTGTTGTGGAAATAGTGAGAGTGTGAAGCAGAGTGTTCCCGTCTTCTGCCTTTGGCTCCAGCATTGGGACGTTTTGAAGGGAAGCAAGTTAAACTGGAGGGCGGTCTGCAGTAACAGGGTCTTACTCATCCTTTCATCCACATGTAAATTGTGGATAAATGATAACAGAGCTTATTAACGAGCTTGTCTTCATGGGGGAATACATACAGCTTTATTGTATAACCGCGAACGCTAATCATATGTGATGTATTAACTTGTGGCTAGAAAATAATGAGTTGCAGTTGATCACAATAAATATACCTGAATTCTATTTCGTCAGTCTATCGGAAAACCCTGATTGCCACAAACGGGTGATGCAAGTTCGACCATGGAAATTATTATTCGAAAGCGTCGCGTGCCACCTACTGGAGAAAGAGTGAACCTGCTTCGGCGGGGTCGCTAAAAGCCAACTGGGCTTTTCTAGCAATAAGGACTGTATTAGAATGAGAGAGAAATAATGATATTAGTTACTAGCGTGATTAGGTAGGAGCCTTACGTTATTCCTCAATGTTTTTTTTTATTTAATTCGGCGTCGCCCTATGAACGCTATGGACAAATGGAAACCCCGGAGTGGAGTTCGTTACAGAATGCTAAGGGACGGGTCTCTTCTGTCGCTCCGCTCCACCCACATGTTCTGATCCAGACCTGCATTTAGTCTGTGCCGTTGCTTGGTGTACGGAGCTTGACGTTTGCTGTGTAAGATTGCATTTGTTCAGTAACATGATGTAGAATATTTGTGGTTCATTTAATTGAAAATTTTGCTCTATTACATTTCATCATACAAACAGAAAGATTTAATTACGAAACAACAACAGCTTCTCTCAGTTTTATAGAAGGTATTCACATTAAAAAGCAAGTATAAGTATAAAGTAGCCTGTGGTATAGCATACCAGTGCAGGGTTGGCTGGTTGATTTTTTTCATAATTTGATGAAAATCTCACATTCAATGTCACAAAAGATTTCCTTATAAAATTATTATTGTTATTAATAACTGACTGGACTGAGTTATGAGAGTTATGTCGTGCACTTGTGCTCAAGACTACAGTTTTTAGAGGGACGCAACCAACGGAAAAGGTGGAAAAGTTGATTTTAAACCAAACGAACACCACAAATTTGCCAGATAGTAGTTTATGCTTAATATAAAAATGTAGTATATATTATAAAATTTTCACAGCTTTTTACAATCTTTTACAAATAACCAATAGGGAGCCTTTAGTTGTTTTGGTTAGCTCCCCAAAGTGCCAGTTTATACCTGTTGTCATCCATATATTCAGGACTACATGTAATATCTATAACAATAGCTTGTAATTGTTAATTGCTCGAACAAAATAATTGTTCAATCGATATGGGATTTTCAATTACTGATTCTTGAAATATTATATTTTGTTCCTCCAGTCCTGAATGGCATAATGGGTATAAATGGGCACTTTAAGAAGAAAAACAACATCTAAAAATTCCCTAATGGTTTTTTAAAAGATGGTAAAAGTTGTGAAAATTAATAATACATTCATAAATTATCATATTAGCATTAAATGATGTTAGTCGGACAGCATAATTAATCACAGGCATCTAAATTGTACAACAAATTAAAAATGCCTCCCATCTCTAACATTTATAAACTATTTTTTTCCAAATAATTTTTATAACTTTTCATAGATGTCTTTATAGAATCAATGTGGGTCCAAAAAAAATCAAACATTCAGTTTTGTGGCAAGCCAGTTCAAGCCAGTTCTTATTTCCTTGATCTCCCATGCATTTCGAAATGTACACACAATACAGTTATACTTAAGCCAACTTTTTCTGAATTTGTTTTGAATGCCCACACTCTAAAAAATGCTGGGTTAAAAATAAGGGGCAAACCCAGCTATTGGGTTGTTTTGACCCAGCGGTTGGGTTCAAAACAACCCAATAGCTGGGTCTGTCCCTTTTTAACCCAGCATTGATCAATTAAAAAAAATCTATAAAAATAACAATAAAAAATATTTACATATCTATATAAACATTTGGGTCCAACTTTTAATAGGTGTCTTTTGAATACATGACTTCGTGTTGTATTGTAAAACACTTTTTCTGCTATTGACACTGGATACAGTTAAGGTTCAGGACGGGTTTGGTGGTATAGTTAGGTTTACGGGTGGGTTAAGCAGTAAGGTCAATAGTGTAATCATACAGTAGATGTAACTACAGAAACACAATATGTGCATTGTATCAAATGATTAAATTAAATGAAGTACATATTAGACACTTAAAAAAAGTGGGTCCAACATTTTAAAGTCAAAAATGTCTTGCAAAGTGTCACATAAGTAAACAACCCCTGTAAAAAGTATTGTCATTTAAATGAAAAGTTGGCTCAAACAAATGGCTGAAATGACATAGCTTTGTCAAGGGGTGGCAGCACTGCATGTAAAGGGGTGGCACACAACATGTTGCCCTAATGAGGAAATTTCATCAAATATATAAATTCTCATATCAAACAATGTCTTGTATATGCATTCTACATCAAAAGCACAAATGTGAATTTGCTGCATGACACATTTTATATGACGTGATTTTCTTATGATGCCCACATACAGTCCTTCAAAAAGTGAAACAAGGATATGCCCTCTCATGATAAAGATGGCATCATTCAGCGAGGAAGCAGGGGGACACTTCTCTCGCTTGTATTTTGATGAAAAACATGGTTCCTCCTCCTGTTCACAAACAAAGAGAAAAAAATGTCCATTATAATCTCACTCCATCAACATTATTTGAGTGACTCTTAAATTAGTGGCACTTTTGACTACTTTTACTAAATAAATTCAGAATACATGTCATCTATCTTAAAACTATAGGTCCTGAAATAAATAATTAGTCATAGCCATGATCAACAATTCGAGTTTGTTTGATTTTGATTGATTTATTTGGATTTTGTGTGGCCGTATGAATTTTGACATTGTGTGTAATGAACGTTTTCAGTTCTTGGGAATTAATGTTGGATAAATCTAGCGTAGCGTTAGTTCTGGCAGGTCACGTTAGTCAAGCTCGCATCAGCTGACTCTCAGCTGATCCCCATCAACCTATGGGAACACGATGCCTATCTAAGCATTCATATATAAGGTCCCTCAGTATTATCAGCAGTTTTCGCATTGCTCAATAGCTAATTACCCTCCTCCATCCCCAACTCCTCCTCTGTCAGTCAGGATTCAGCCTTCTGATTCTCCTTTGAATCAGACTAATTCTAAAATGTGTACATAACATTACTGAACTTTAACGATATCTGCAATACAATTATGTTAGTTCTGTTTACCCGGGGGGG